CCACTCCCATAAGTGACCAAGACAGAATTTCTCCCTACAACGCTAATACAATATTAACCAGATATTTAGTTGATCCAACACTAAATTCTCTGAACTAACATTATGAGAATTGTATGGTTGATAGTAAGGGGAATAACAAATTTGATCTGGGAGTTAAAGGGTTAAGTACTAAGGGTACTAAGGGTTAAGTACTGACACATCAAGACTTGATCACCTCACGTTTATTTAGACCAGCCTTTTCTCACTGCCATAGGAATGTTGTTCAATTCCCATATCCACATCTCCAAATTTTTTACCCACAGCACACCTTAACATAATTATTTAATACATTAATTTAGAGCAAGTGATGACAGAAGTGATACACTGAATCACCTGACTATTAAGGATGGTGAAAATTTCTAGTCTAAGTGATTAAATGCAAATTTAAAGAACCTGTGTTCTTTGTTCTAGGGTTCAAGTCTAAAATAGGGGCCCTACCCAAGGCCTTAAAATATTTTAATAAAATCACAATAGTCATCTTACCTTTTCTCTTTTTGATGTCACAATTTTCTCTTCAAATTCTTCAAGTTTTCTAGGAGTTAAACAATATAAATTCAATTAAAAATTTTTACTTCTTTTAAATGCTATTAATTTTCCGCAGAAACAAATTAGCCACTAAACACTTTTATCAATGACTTAATGCTTCCTAATAAAGAAGAGATAAATACCAGTAACTAGTGTTATCCTTTACTAATTTTTATTGAGAAAAAATTTCCACACCTTTTACATTCCTCAAGAGCATTTTGATACTGCTTAATTTGCACCTCCAACTTTTGATTATCAGACACACAAGATTTGTATCTTGACTCCAGGAGTGACTTTGATTCTTCAATTTCCTGGTTTTTATTTGATGTTTTCTGGTTAATTTCTTCAAGGTGATGGCAAGCCAATATTGCCTTTTCATTACACTTAGCAAGTTCTGTAAGCTTGGCCTCAAGATCTTCAATATTCTCATGAAGCTGAGATTTCTCATTTTCACCTGACTTGTTGACCTCTTCTAGATACAAACAGCGCACTTCAAAATTTTGGTTTATTTTCCTCAGTTGTCCACAGCTATTGTCAAGGTCACGGTTTGCTTGTTCCAGTCTTATTGACTTGTTTTTCATTTGCTCACAGGTTTTTTCCAAAACATTGCATCTGGCTTGTAGTTTGTGGATTGCAGCTTCAAGCATTCTGACAGGCAGTGCATGATGAAGATTTTTCAAGTTGTATCCTACTTCATTAAGTTGTTCACAAATCTTGTCTATTTCTGCTTCAAAATGGCTTATTATATCTTTCTGCTGCCAAGGGTGCTTTTCACCATTATTCCCCTGGTGACCACTGTGAAAAAAAATATATTATTGTAATAATCACTTTAAGTGCAACTCTCTTCTGATAGCTCACACCTTTGTTAACTCAAACTTTACTCTAACTTCAATCACAATCTCCCCCTAAATTTCTTCCATACCTTTAATTTTTTTTTCACCTTATTAATAACTTAAACCCTATGGTTAACTTTTTTATCTGTCTAGTCACTTCCACAACTGTCATTAACCTGATGTTACTCTCTATAACTAGTTTTACCTTAAAATAGTTTTGTCCATAAGTGTAACTATAGCTAAGATCTGATTTTCGAAGATTCTTAAATATTATAATACAATTCTTTGTTTTTACATGTAGGATGTCTGTATAGTTTGTGTGCATGTTGGCCATACTGTACCTCTACTATAAACATGTCATTTATTTAACTTTATCCAGCTCCCTCTAATTTTTAGTTGCTAAGTTATTCCATGGTCTTGTTACCCTCTAAGCATAATAATAATAGTCAACTATTATTTTCTATTTAACAAATTGCTAAAACTTGTGTACAATAAGGTTGTTTTTTTTTTTGTTAATGTTGTAATATCACCTTATCCTCTAGAGCTCAAACCACTATTGATTAGGGATCTACCAAATGTTCAACCTTCTTTGCTTGAATTTATATCAACACAAGTTACTCTGGGAAGCTTGTTTACTTACTTAAGTTAGAACATAACCTAATGACCAATAGGACAAACTAAAAGCTAAATCTTCTGGTGGAAAACTAGGGAAAAACCTTATTGGCTGTAATTTGATACTGTTTGGCTCTAATTTTCAACCACATTTTGACTGTTCCTGTGGAATGCAATTGTAAGCCAGTTCAAAAGATGCTCTCAGTTTGATGCTGTTGAAGAAACTATGCATAGTTCCTTTCTTTCTTTCTAACTGTTTGTTTAGAAATGTCGTGCAATTCCAAAGATCATTTTTGTTTTTTAGCAGCTAATTTTCCAAGCTTGTGCAAACCATAAAATTGCTAGATCAAAAATGTTTTCTAAGCCATTGAAAGCCTGGCAAAAACTGTGCAAAAGCTCAGAACATTTGTCCATTTAAAAACCCAGAATAATTCTTGGAATTGCTAGACATTTCTAAAACTCTAGATCTTAAACTCCAAAGAAGTTTCAGA